CTTGTATATATAAAAAAAGTTTTAACATTCTTGTAAACATTAACAAATTATGAAAAAGATTGATCCACTACTCTGTTTCCCTAAACTGCGCGTCCAACAAGTCGGTGACGTCATACACGATCTGTTAGTACAGCAAGATCAAACTCGGTGAACACAGGGGAGGTATTATTATGTAAAAACAGGTCATAATCAGTATATGATGAAATTTTTTGAGAAACGGGGAACACAAAAATTATTTTTGCATGGCTAATGACGGAAATCTTATGTAGGTATATCTTATTTCGCTTATTTAGCTTACGTGTGACGTCTTAGTTGGCTTTTCCCGTACTCGAGAAATGTAACATGACACGTTTTCGTCATGCTTATGTCCTCTTTAACGATGACCTGTGAAATATTGAGGTCAGCTTTATCATTCCAAAATTTTACAGTTAATCAATAATTAAATGATTTGCACTTCAGCGTAAATTAAAAAAATATTGAATGATGGAATTTTTTGTAAATTATGTTTTTTATTGGCTAAGTTGTCTTAAAAAGTGCGTCATTTTCCCTAACCAGATGCAGTGTGATAGAAGAAATTTGCTTTTTCGAATTTTAAACCCTATTCATACTCTAAAATATTTTAAAAGATAAATGTCCACTTTAATATTTTTTATATGTACTTAAAAAATCCCATTATGGACAGAGTAATGAGCCCGGAAACATGGAGAACAAGATGTGTTTGTGAAACACTGATGCCCCCGTATGGCAGCTAATGGCGAAGGTTAAAGTTTCTCAAATGCAAGTCAAAATCCAGGCCAAAAGATAAAAAATGTTGATACCCAAAGAAAGGTCTTTTCTATATAAGAATATACCTGTGAAATTTGAAAGACCTAGCTGCAACTGTTCAAAAGTTATGGCGTTGGTTAAACTTTTTTAAAATAAAAGTCAACTGTCAAGGTCAAGGTCAAAGTGGTTGGTATCCAAAGGAAGGTCTTGTCACAAGGATTACATTTGTGAAGAATGAAAGCCCTAGCACCAACCATTAAAAAGTTATGGCCAAGGTTAAAGTTTTTCAAAAGTAGGTCAAACTCCTATGTCAAGGTCAAAGGGTCAAAGTGGTTGGTATCCAAAAAAAGGTCTTGTCACAAGGATTACATATGTGAAGTATGAAAGCCCTAGCTCCAACCATTCAAAAGTTAAGGCCAAGGTTAAAGCTTTTCAAAAGAAGGTCAAACTCCTAGGTCAAGGTCAAAAGGTCAAAGGGGTTGATATTCAGAGGAAGGTCTTGTCACAAGGAATACACATGTGAAGTTTGAAACCCCAAGCACCAACTGTTCAAAAGTTATGGCCAAGGTTAAAGTTTTTCAAAAGTAGGTCAAACTCCAAGGTCAAGGTCAAAAGGTTAAATATGATGGTACCCAAAGAAAGGTCTTGTCATAAGGAATACACATGTGAAATATGAAAGTCATAGCTTCAACCAATCAAAAGTTATGGGCAAGGTTAAAGTTGACAACAGACAGACAGACAAACGGACAAACAGACAAACGGACAAACAGACAGACAGGACAAAAACAATATACCCCCGGGATCTTTCGATCCGGGGGCATAATTAAAACTCCACTTATATACTTTAGGGCCTAGTATTTGTCAATCAATATCTCCAAAATAAGGTAAGAAACCTAATGATATAACTGCTTTAAGATATGTGGGATATACTTAATTAGAAATATACAAAATATGAAAAATTTTTAATGACAAGTAATTTTTTAGCTCAAGGTCCTTCTCCTCCTTAATTTGAACTACTCATCCATGTTTCTGTTCTGATTGGTGAATGTTTTAACCATGTGAAAGTAATTTAAGAATTAGATGAGGTTTTCTTAATTTCAATTTCTCTATTCTGGAATGTTGAGTTTTGCATTTTGAAACTTAAATGTCGGAATTTCGCAGTTTAAATTTCGTTTTCCACTTACATTGCATGTGTACTGACCTATATTTTGACTGGATAATTTCGAATCTCAACTGCCATCTGGGCTTTCGTAGATAATTATAAGATAGAAGACGGCGCAGCTCTTATTACGTAACCGTGCTCTTGTATACATTATAAATCTGTATTACATTTTGAGAAGATTTTGCCAAAACATATTTTAAATCATTCAAAGTATGAAGCATTTCAAACCCCAAAGATTTTGAGAAGATTGGATGGACATGAACAGAGTGTAAATTCTGTTCAGACAAAGACTGCATAAGATGAATCATTCACGAAGTAACCACTAGATGTGCCAGTCTGCACGAACTTAGGATTTGTCGACAGAATGCGCTAACCTTGCACGGATTTAGGATTTGTGAACATGATTTTGGAGTTCAGCTGTACTTACTAATATTCTTTCACCTGAGCATCAAAAAGCTGAAACCAAAAATAAAGAAATAAATAAATAAAAGAAAAGAAAAGAACTGTCTAATAATGTTTATATCTTGAATGATAGAAAATTTGAAGTCATCATGTTTTTCATCATTTTATGTTGAACATAAAGTTTTGTATGTAGCTATAGGTTATCATAAACGTTTTTTTTTTTTTTCTAGTAAAATATCCAGATATGAATCAGATGTGTCAGACTCTTTGGTATCTTTTATTTTAAGTTCACTGGGATATATCGAGTAGATATGTGAATGAAAGTAACTATTGTTAATCGATAATACTTCGTCGATATATCTAAATGTCGAGTTGAAAGTCATAGCATGTGTCTTCTTATGTATAAATTTTTGAATATTAAGTTTTGTATAAATTCTGCTTCATATGAACACAAAAATATTTCTGAGCATTTATCACTAATGGTTATTTCGACAGATTGTTGGAAGACCTGGTCTGCAAAAACCACATATTGTCAATCAGAAACTCAAGCATCTTTTTAATATCTATTTTACAGTACTTGTGTGCACAATGCGAATGTTTTAAACAAAATAATGTTGGAAATGACCTATGACAAGGTAAGTTAATTAATTAACGTGTTCCATTTTTATTGAAAGAGCAGCTGTCAATGATGTTAAAAAGCCTGGACTTAATTTATCGTGAGGAATGGTTGTATAGAGTGTTGAAAGTCGTACGTTTTGATGTTATTGTCAGATTTTGGTAAAGTTTTGTGATTTCAAATTTTCTAAAAGTTCCTCTGAGTTTTTATATGTATGTATCCACATCTGATTTACAGCACTTCTTGAATATGTATTGTTGTACTGTACTCCTTAAGTTTTCATTCACTGTTGTTAATATTTTAGTGAGGGATAAAGAAAGAGACTTGGTAGAAAATTAATCGGAACCCACTATGTATCTTTGTTTGTAAAGATTTTTTTTTTAAATTTTAGTAATCCAGTATAGATATGATAATTCAAATTCATTTTGACTGTTGGGAATATTACAAATAGTTTACACTGACAAGTGGTTTTGAAGAATTTCCTCTTTAGAAACGGATTTATGGGTATAGGTTCGATAACCACTTGCAGAATTAAATCCCAGTTCCTCTAGATCTAAAATACAATTCAAATAATGGGCCTTAAAAACAAAGACAATGCTGTTACCTGCTTTGTCAGCTGTGACCAGTTTATACTGATCGTGTAATCTATCTCATTTTTTTCACTTCTGAATTATTGAAGACAGAAGGATAGATGATTTTCATTTTGCCCCTCAGTCGCTTTGTGCAAGATTTCAAAATCCATCTGTTAGTTTTAATCCATGCGGATAAAGTGTCGAGGTCTTCATTTTCTTGTTTTGCCCATCACCTGGCGTAATTTTTCACAGAATTATGATAAATAATAGGCTAACGTTTTGGTATGAAACATGTCAGTCAAAACTTGACTCAAATAAATAGATAAATAAAAGAAAAGAAAAGAACTGTCTAATAATGTTTATATCTTGAATGATAGAAATTTGAAGTCATCATGTTTTTCATCATTTTATGTTAATCATAAAGTTTTGTATGTAGCTATAGGTTATCATAAACGTTTTTTTTTTTCTAGTAAAATATCCAGATATGAATCAGATGTGTCAGACTCTTTGGTATCTTTTATAAAGATTATACAAAGCTTATTTATGCGAACAAGGCCGTTATAGAATTTGCAAACAAGGTCTTTATAGGTGCAAAATATTGATCTGAAACAACACTGTTGAAAACTCTGTTACATCAACTTAATTATCTCGAAAGAATAAGCAATTCAGAATGGCAGTATCTGTCATGGCTTTATTCTTGTTTAACATTATAAGGTAATTACATAATAAAACAATGGTATCAAAACAATGAACAATAATCAAGTATTATAGCAAGTGTCAATGAGTAAGCGCCGATCCTCAATCTGGCATTTGGCGCATACAGTTTGCAGAAATGAGGAGTCATATGGTGCTGACAACCCTGGAGGGTAAACAGAAGTTGCCAGCGATGGCTTGTTGCAAAATTCTGCAGTGCGCAGGCATGGATTGCAGGCTGGAAGGGTCACTAAAGCCATGACGATGGTCGATGTGGCACTGGAATCATAAAATGATAACAGCAGAAACACAGAAAAAAAAATACTACTATATGTATGTACATGTATAAAACTTATCCGACTAATGTGATGTATATGTATCTAAATGTGTTAAATGATAGGTGGGGATCTATGTAATGTTGATGTAGCCTAATATAACAACTAAGATGGTGGGGGTGGGTGGGTGTTCAAAATTGATGAATCGGAAAGGATGTGCGCGCAAGCGCATTTAATGACCTGGGGATATTTGGGAAATTTGGTTGAAGCCTGGCTTGGATTTCTCGAAAAAAAAAAGTTTTTACTCAAGTTCAATCTCAAATCCTGAGAAAAAACTCAGCTAAGATTTTTCTCAAATCGCGTTTCTCGAAACAAACTCACTCAATTCTCAGCTAAGTTTATTTTTTTTTTCTCAACTGAGTTTTTTCAACGTTACATAAGCGGCCTTACTCCTTACTTCCGGTTATAGTATCCAATGTAAATAATCGTCTGCTACGGCAATCTAGGCCTATATTATGGAAGTGAAAGTTTCAAAGACACCTCGCCGGCCAAATTGGACCGAGAAGGAAAAACTGGTTTTGGTTGAGGCGGTCCGACAACGCGAGGACCGCCTCTTCGGAAAAATGAAAGGGTCGGGGGGTGTCAAAAATGTGAAACTCAAAGAGGGGGCGTGGGAGGAGGTAGCAGAGGCGGTGAATGCGTAAGTACCATTTGCAGTATATTTTATAATCATGAACACGTATATATTATGCCTTATTATGCATAATTGATAATTATTACTATTGTTTTAATAGAAAACGAGTGCCTCGTGTGTGTGTGTGTGTGTTGTTTTGTTTTAAGAATTAGAGTTATTCCTCTTATTTGCCATAATAAGTTTTTCAGACGTATCTAGGGGAATTCCAAGTTCTTGAGACAACAAACGGACATTTAAAAAGTTCAGTCATTTTAAAATTGCTATATATCTAGGTATATGCTTGGGCAGAGAGGATGTGTAGCATGATTATAGGCCTACATTGTTTTCTGTATTATTTTTAAAAAAAATACACAATGATTTAATATGACAAGTCAGCGGCTACACTTCTCTACACGGAGGCGATGCGGGTTGACAACTAGATTGTCCACCGAATGCAAAGGGCAGGGACCAGACATGTAGATTGGCATAATGGTTATTAACATGAAAGTTAACATTCGTGAGCATCAATCTACAGAAGTCTTTTCCCTAGCAAAATTCAGAAAGTACTCGTACATTTTGTACATCTATTATATATTTATACAGTTATAGTGAGAGTTACCCCTCTTTATTTTACTAAATTCAGATTATAGACTTAGTAAAGTTAAAATTTCTATAATTTTTTTCTTTCTTTAATAGAATAAACGCATTTGAAATGAAATAAAAACTGCCTATTTAAAGTTCAATCTCGTTTCAAGCTCAGTGTCATTTGCATTTGTTTTAAAATACTGGAAATAGGTACCCTTGTATATATCATTTTTGAAAGCTTGTTGTGGAAATACCTTGACAAATAAAATATTATAAATTGATTACAGACAGTCCGATACAGTTGAAAGAACTGTTGAAGAAGTCCGGAAGCAATATGCAAACATCAAACAAAGAGGTACAGTATGTAGAATTTTATTAATCAATTATTTATTTAATTTTTTCACCTGTTTTTAAAATGTGTCCATATATCACTTATAGCCTTCAATTTAAGAGACACTTTTATGATAACCTAAATATATGAATGGAGAATTTTCAGGTATATAAAAAAATCTTATGATTTTGTTTCTCTGGGAAATCTCTCCAATAAGTAATGGCAAAATTATGGATGACAATATTAATATTTTGTTTTTATGCAGCTAAAGAAAAATCAGATGCAATTAGACGTCCTGTCACTGGTGGAGGTCCAAAACCCCCCTCTCCTTCTCCAGTGGAAACAGAAATACTAAATCATCTTGAAGACAGACCCACTCTTTGTGGTCTGTCTTCAGGTCATGATACAGAAGAAGGTATTTTATTATTTGAGTATCGGTAGCAAAAAAAAATATTTATACCTAAGGTTTGATAAGATATCCGTTAATTACATATTGGGTATAAGAAAGGACAGGTATTACATTTTTATAATCCATATCACTATTTTTCAGTAGTTCTTGGTTGTCTTCAAAGTACTGCTGGTGATTCATTCTCAGAGGTGCTAGCTAGTGGAGATACTTGCTTTATGAGGAAACAGTAAGAACTTAATATTTGTTATGTTAATTTGTTTGTTTTAATTAGATGCAATGATAATAGATTCATACATAGTTGAAAAAATCATTGTCAACCATTGTTACCCTCAGCTTCATGCAATATTTGTGTAAAGAATTATACTAAACTGTCAGCATCAATGCAAGGAAAAGATAAATATTTACCTGTATGCCCTCAAGGGCTCCAAATCTAAATGACCATTCGGATTCTAGTAATTTACATTAAAGTATGAAAATTAATATGAATAATGCAATTTTTATGTTTTGAAATTTTTATCTAATAAAAGAGCATATTACATTTGCTTATTTTTTTTTTTAGGTATTTCATGTACAAACATGGAAATTCCTATAAATGACAGCACCCAGTTTGGTCAAATTATTGATCTACAGTTGCCATCAACTATCTCAACTAAGACATCCAAAAGGAGGAAAACCATGGAGGATGAGGAGATTAAGACCCTTAAGGCAGAGAGGGAGAAGTATATTCAGGAGACAATCAAGCTGAAGGAAGAAGATGAATATTATAGAATCAAAACATTGTTCTTAAAAAAGAAAATTAATGAAACGTCACAATCAAAAAGAAATTCAGAACAATAAGTTTTATAAAGAAAGAAATTCACTGTAGGCCTACATATATGAGTATATAAAGTATATTCAGTGTTTACTAGTTGAATACGGAATTTATTTTCATTGATGGGACTTTTTTTCATGAGTACTAGCAGAGTAAAAATATTTTTTCCAAAAATCCTATGTCATGAGTGAAATAAATTCCTCATTCAACTACAAATGTTGAATTTTCTTTACATTATGCCTGAGGTCAAAGATTAGGGGACAATTTTTTTGCACTGCCTGAGAATCAGTTATTCTAAATTTGCCATCTGTACATGTACTTCTGTCATAAACTTTAATCTCCATTTATATAGGAACAAAAATGTATTTTTTAATACATGGATGCTATATTTTTAACATGATGATTTATTTCACCTTTCTTAGACTCTCCACTTTAAGATGATACCGGGTACATGTATTGATTTTTTTTATTGTTCATTTGCATGAAACTTTTTTTTTTAAATAATAAAATAATTTTTTAAAATGATAAAATATTTGATTACCACTATTAAATACTAAAACAACATTACTAGTATTATAAAAAATATGTTGTATTAGTGGTAAAGATAGATACACATGTATATAAACATTTTCTAGCCACATTTTAGCAAAATGCATCTATTCATGAACTCTTCTTGAACAGAAATTTTCTTTCTGAGATATTAAATACTGCAAGGTTTCAAAAGAATTGTAACAAATTTTACAGAAAATTACATCTTACAGAATGTTAATTTTTGTTCTTGTAAAGGGAGCACTTGTCAATTATTTATAAGACTGTTTTAAAGTTTTTAAACTACGTGGATCTTTGATTATTTTTAAAAGCATGAACTAAAAATTGGTGCACACAATTAATTGATTTCAAATAAAGCAAAATTTTAAGACATCCAAATAAATGATATTTTCAAGAGTTATGGTTCCTTCCTATGGGACAGACATCCTTATATCCAGATACCTGTAATAAAAAATCTCTTGCCTTACTAATGATTCCATCACTAAATCTGCTATCTAAATGCTTGTGTTCATTTATAAAGAAAAAAAAAACTCTCAGCAAGTTTTTTGGTGCAAATTTATTGGACATTGATTAAGAAATCACTGTTTGATTATTACATGTCAAGATTTTAAAAATAATTGTGTATTATGTAAATATACATGTAGTACTGGTATTAGTGTTTTTATTTTGTTTAATCATCATAAGTTAATTATATGGAATTTGACCAAAAGAATGTGTTACATTTGTATATTTTGCAAGAGAAATGTTTCATCTTTCATCATTTCATAAATGTTCTAAAAAAATCATACAGATACTCTCTCAAAAATTCTCAGTGTATATCTCTGTTCTAAATACTGTACCCATAATTTTAGTTTTTTTCTTACTTTATTTTCTTAATTCACTGAATTAACTAATGCTCTATAAAATTTAATTTATAATATCCTGTGTGTAAAGTGATACATGTAGCAGTACAGCGTTAATATAATAAACAATTACATAATTAGTTACTTGCATTTTCTTTTTTTGATATCTGATATATCATTACTGGTAATTTTTAAGAAGTTCAAAAATATTTTCAAAGTGTTCATCGTTGTACTGAAATTTTTTTACTTAAATCTATATTTCAATGCCATATAAATTGTTTTTACCACTTATAACCCAAAAGGTTGTATAGCATGCATAATATAAATCAAGATTTGTTTGTAAAACACTGATTTCCCCCTGTATGACAGCTTTTGGCGAAGGTCAAAGTCCAAGGTCTAGGTCAAAAGATCAAAAGTGTTGTAAAAGATAAGGACTTGTCTTAATGAATATGCAAGCCTAAACAACAACCATTCGGAAGTTATGGCCCAGGATAAAGTTGTTTTTAAAGTGGGTAAAACTCCAAAATCAAGGTCAAAATGTCAAATTTGTTGGTACCCAAAGATTGTTCCTGTCACAAGGAATACACCTGAAAAATGAAAGTTATAGCTTCAACGAATCAAAAGTTATGGAGAAGGTTAAAGTTTTTGCGGATAGACAGACAGACAGACAGCTAGACAGACAGACGGTCGGACAGGGCAAAAACTAAATACATGTACCCTCGAATCTATAATTACGGGGGCATAAAAAATTTTGTATATCTGCATTCACATGTTGTTCAAACCCTGTTATTCTTTTTCCATACTAGTCTATTATGATTTGTAAACTATATATAAACTCAAATGTAAATATCATACATGTATAGACAACTGTACCAGGGATACAGTTGTGGCATAATACTTTATGAAAAAACGACCTACATATATAATTTCTAACATCTTTGCCATCCCACTGATCCCTAACATTAAAATTTACATCCCCTTGGTTGATATATACGCCATCATCAATATCCAGTATGTCATTATGATCTATTCCTATATTGTGCAAAACTGCACAGGCCAGAGTGATATCACACGCCTTTTCAGGGGTTGTTCTTAAGCCGCTGTGGAGACATGGAAATCTCTTCTTCAATATGCCAAAGGTCTGTTCGATGACAACTCTGGTTCTAGCGTGAGCATTGTTAAATCTTGCTTCCGCATCATTTGAAGGGACGGGGTATGGTGTCATTAGGTGGGGTTTGCAAGGGTAACCAGAGTCCCCCAAGAGTAGTCCTGGATATTGTCCTTAAATATAAAGAAATGTATAAGATTACTTGAAATTAAGTATCATATTTGTGCCCCCCCCTTTTTTTTTAATCAAACCGTGGCAAAAAAATAGCATTCTAATTTTTGAGTGAACTCAGTAAAAGTGCAATAAGCGCTAATCGGTGATTTTCCACGGTAGTGACCCAGGCAATAATTGTCAATAGCAGTAAAGAATGGTTTTCAACCTTGGAAAGGGGGGGGGGAGTCCTTAATATATGCACTCAATAATAAAATAGAAAACGTATGTGGTATATATTGAATTACAATGACATTTACAAATATTTGGGTCAAATGTCAGGTGCTTTGATGTTGGTACATGTACAACTCTTTGTTTAAGCCCTGTTCACAGAATTTTATTGTTTGTACATGTATATGCCTAGTTTTTATGAGATGATCGTTTACAGAATTGTATTGTTTGTACATGTATATGCCTAGTTTTTATGAGATCGATCGTTCACAGAATTGTATTGTTTGTACATGTATATGCCTAGTTTTTATGAGATCGATCGCAGTTCGTTATCTTCATCTTCAAACATTTGAATCCAAACTCCAAAAGTTGTTCCAATTTGCCACTCTTAGGGAAATATCGATGATTAGCATCACACTTTTAAAGAATTTTGTAGAATTTACCGCTGTCGAAAAATGGGATTTCTTTCCATATACATGTATATATACTGATTTCAATAATTATTCAATTTAACAAAACTTTACAAATGAAGTTACCATTTTCAAAGGCAATGCTTATATGACTGTCTCGGTAAATCCTGCTGTCATGTACACTTCCAGGCCACTTGGCGACACAGTTCAAAATTCTAAATTTGCCATCGGAGATCATCTGATAATACAAATAATTAAATATTATTACTCGATAGAGATTTTTATAATTTTTAAAAATCTTTAAAAAATATTAATTTTACGATGGCCAGTGCAAATAATTATAATTCAAAATAATTAAAACAAATTACCTGTACATTTAGAGAATGGTATCCTTTTCTATTCAAGAAATCTGGTTCATTTTCTGAAGGTGCCTGAATTTTGATGTACGTACCATCAATGCACCCGAGGACATTTGGAAAACCTAGGACCATGAAATAAGTAACTATGTGAACACACACACAAAAAAAAAAAAACATCAAGCATGTTGCAACTAATAAGGGAAAATGATAACCATCTTCTATTACAAAAGTCTTGAAATTATCCACTATTTTGGCTTTAAGTTATTCTCAATTATTTTCTTTAATTTGCATTCAATTTTATTATTGAGGTAGTCCCCCCCCTCCCCCCAACACCTGGTGGATGCCCCCTTCTTAAATTAAGTAAGAGTCTTCAACTTCTCAAGACTGAGATTTCTCAGTCAATCACACCCATTTTTCGTTCCATACAGGCAGGACTGTACGTTTTCCTAAGTTTAGAGAATGGCCATGCATGTATAATACATTTACGTTATAATAAACTTTATTACATACTGTACATGGCCAATCTCTAAACGTAAGAAGTACAATCTGCTTGCATGAAACGGCATAGGTCGTAATTGAGTGTGATTGATGGGGAAATATTATATATTTGAGAAAGTATAAGTTCTTACGATTTTTTAAATTATTGTGGGGGGGGGGGGGGTTCCACACTTCAGGTACCTGTGAATCCCACCTTTCCCATATATTTTTTTTTGCAAATTATGTGTACATGATGGCATAAATAGAAATCGTTCCATATCTTTTCTTTCTTTTTGTATTTAAAAAAAAAAGTTTTATTGCTGTATGCGAAAACAAAATGGCTTGATTGTTTTATTGATTCGAATGATTTATGGTACGATGTAACCTGCATCCATTTGTTCTGTGATTACTTCCCTTGTTTTGTTGTTTACCTGCGATGGAATAGAAATGCTTTTTCACTCCATCAGCTGCATGTCTTGCTGGCATCCTTATAAATTGCCGTGACATCTGACACAAAGCATGACACACATCCTTAACCGCCCTACACACAGTGGATGGGGACAGGCTGTCAAATGTATCGGCTACAAAGGAATAAAAAGTTCCGGTGGCGAGAAATCTCAGTGTGGCCATAACCTGCAGAAGGGGGGTGAGGGCACAGCTTCGCAGAGTGTCTCTCTCGAGAAATCGTCTTAATAAATTCACCACGAACAAAATTGTGTCCGGGCGGAAACGATACCTTTTGAAAATCTCCTCCTCTGGCATTAATTCTAAAGGATTTTTACGTCAACAAGCCTGTTGTAAGCAACTCTCTGTCTATGTCAACGTCTACGACGCTGCCGTCGGTTGTTCACCGCCATGTTTGAGATTTTTTTAAGGACTTTTAAAAGTTTACTAACAAGGTAACTTAAGTTTTTTCTCAGTTTGAGTAAGAAAAAGAACAAGTTTTTTCGAGAAATGCAATATTTTGAGTTTTCTCAAATTTAAGATTTTTCTCAGAAATTTGAGTAAAAACTCAGACTTAAGTCTGAGATTTAACTTAAGATTTTTTCGAGAAATCCAAGCCAGTAGACCTTTTCACAAAAATTCTTACGATTAATTTCTATCGTAAGAGAACACTTACGATTTTGTCCCTTTTCACAAAAATTCTTAAGAGATTCTTAAGTGTAAAATCTGTCGTAACTTTACGAGAGCCTTAACCCTCTCGTAAGTGCGATAAATAATTCGTAAGAGCAAAATATTATCGTAAGATTTGTCTTAAATAAACAAAAATGGCTGCTTTTATTTTCTTATTCCAAAATGATCGAGCATTTCGTCG